CCGTGAGGGCACAAATCCCAGTCTCACTCATCCATCCACTTGTTGTTCCCAGTCGTTTGCTCAGAGTTCCTGTTATTTACAATGACAGAGAGTGTTTACAGAATCCTCTGCTCAGCAGAAGGGACTTTCCCTTTCTAATCTGATCAAGAGCGAAGTGCTTCCTCTTAGTTACCCACCTCTTTAGTGGTTAGTCACCTTCCAAGTGTCACCACACAACTGGCAGTAGAAATCAGGGACCCCATGGAATGGCATAGCTGCATTAAGGAGAGTAGAGTGGGTGCTGACCATGGAGGTAATTCAATCTGGCCTCTGCCAGATCCAGGCAATTCTGTCTGGTACAGAACGTGAGAGGAAATGTCTGAGAAAGAAGAAGGGTGTTGATCATCATCAAGGTTTATCTTGTGCCGCCGAAGCCAGGCCTCCTGTGCGCTGCCCTCACCCGGGCCTAATGACAGCACAGGGGGTCTGACAAGACCCCCACCAGCAGGAGGTCCTCAAGACCTGCTGACCTCAGTCATAAACAATCATGGAGAAACAACAGCAGCATAAAGCTTGTGTTGAAGCACGCCGATGGATTTTCCAAATAACAGGCTTTTTTTGTTCATTGTTTTTAGAGAGCATGCTTTGTGAGTCAATTCTGTGTCTCCAGGCTGGCGGGTTCAGAAGGGGAAGGCGAACTGATTTCCTGAGTGCTTGAGCACGATTTCAATCGAGGACCGAGGAAACAAAATCACCTGTTAAGGCCTCATTGAGAATGATCGGTGTGGGCTTTGATTGCTTTCGATAATTTCACGTCGGGAAGAAACAGGGCCTGCGCGCTACCCTGCCCCAGCTCGCCCGGTCGCTTGCCGTGACTGTCGGAGAGCTGAGTGTTCTCCCCAGGTCTAGGGAAAGGACGCTCGCCTGCCGCGCCCTGGGAGTCAGGGACCCTGGGGTGCCTGGGTAATGTTCTCCCTGGAGGCAATGCGCCAGACATGCTCCTGCCTTGCCTGTGCAGATTTAAGCCCACAGTTTCAGGCCCGCCACTAATTGCTGGCAGTGCCAGGACAGACACAGAGAGGGAGGGAGCGTGTGACTGAGCGGTGCTTTTGCAAATTGTGCTCATCGGGCCCCGTCTGCCAGAAGGAACGGTACAAATCTCGGAGCTCAGCAACCCCCGGGAAAACAGGAAGCAGCCTGCTCAGGGATCGATCACAGCCATTGGACAGGGAGGACGTCTGCTCGATGGCAGAAATGCTCAGCAGGCTCGTGCCTTTAACTGTTGCTCCAGCAATGGACTGACGGAGCAGTCTGGGAGCTCTCAGCATTATCAGTGTTTGCTTAGAAGGAGGCCTTATGAAGGGTGGGATGCAATAGAGAAAATTCACATGAAGCGCCAGAACAGGGAACAGTAAAATGACGAAAAGGCACCAAGTGGATGAGAACACGTGCATTGCAGAGGGAGTAAGAACTGAAGCAGCGTAGGCAGCGTGGACACAGAGGGGTAACAGGGGCACCCTGTAGGGATGTATTCCATGCTTACAGGGAGGGCAGTTAGTTACAAGTTAGTTACAAGTTACAGAACCCGCCTGAGAGTTGGGAACAGGAGCATGGTGCAGGGGAATAGTTACTGAAGGGTGTGTTGGACAGCAGGGAGGACACAGGTGCCCTCTGAACAGCCGCTGAAAGGTCATAGAGGACAGAGCAGCGCTGGTTTCCTTGCTCCTGAGGGGTGAGGATCAAGGGC